TGGTGGTATGGCCATAACCTCCCAGCGGGCCATAAAATACCTGGGCGTGATGATCGACGCCCGGCTCTCCTTCCGCGAGCACCTTGATTATATCCAGGGCAAGGCTGCAGCCACTACCAGGGGCCTTGCCAGGATCCTCCTAAACACCAGAGGCCCCAAGCAGAACAGGAGAAGGCTCCTCGTGAGCGTTGCCTCGGCGCAAATTTTGTATGCAGCGCCCATCTGGGCTGAGGCGATGAATACGCCCAGCTACAGGAGAGGGGTAGATGCAGTGTACAGGCTGGGTGCTATAAGAGAACGTGTCCGGCTTCAGGACAGTCTCTGACGACGCCATTCTGGTCATTGCGGGGATGGTCCCGCTGAAGAAGCGCGCTCGTGAGCTCAAGGAGCTTAAGGAAACCCGTGCTCGCAATGAGGGTGCCGGCGGCACCTCCAATACAGCTGCAAGGGAGGACGCCAAGGAGAGGTCGCTCGCAGCCTGGCAGGATTGCTGGGACGCGTCGACGAAGGGACGATGGACACACACCCTCATTCCTAACCTTAGAAGGTGGGTGCTGCGAAGCCACGGGCAGGTCGACTTTTACCTGACCCAGGTCTTGAGCGGACATGGCTGCTTCCGGCAATACCTGAAGCGTTTTGGCCACGCGGAGGATGACTGGTGCCCGAAGTGCGGGAGTTCGATAATCGAGGACGCCAGGCACGTTGTCTTTGAGTGCCGCCGGTGGCGGGCCGATCAATCCACCCGGGAAACCTAGTGGAGGTAATGCTGGAGAACCAGATGCTCTGGGACGCAGTAGCAACTTTTGCTGCAGCTTTAATGCAGAGGCTCAGGAGCATCGAGCAGGAGAGGCGGTAGGGTGGAGAGTTGGCGCCTGTGGCGGGCGAAGCAATGCCTAGCGGTCGTCCCGCCCGCTCTCAAGCCCCTTCTATCCATCATCCATGAACAACCAACTGCCCCCCACAAACCCTGATCCTGATGGTACTGCTCTCTCCAGAGCTTTTCCCCTTTCAACCCCAGAGGATCCATATCACCCCACTCCTGGTATCGATCAGATGTCTCCGAGCGTGGTAAATAAGATTCGCTGTTTCCGTAAAGCTGATTTTCAGAAACTTAATAGCCTTATCGATACATTTGACTGGTCTGATATTCTGGCGTGCACTGATCTTTACGTCACTTTAGAAAAATTTTATTTTACTTTAAATAAATTTTTTGACTCATGTGTGCCTTGAAAATATCCGTCCGCTTCAACAAATCCTCCTTGGTTTACAAGGTGCCTCACTAACCTAAAAAATAAAAAAAATAAGCTTTTACTTAAATATAAAAAAAATATTAAATATTAAATATTTTTATTAAATACACTGCAGTAGTGTTGATTTCTCAAGATACCTACTAGCTTTGTCGAACTTTACCGTGCATAACGCTGAATGTTATAGGAATTATATTGACCGCTGCCGGATTTACTCAGGATCCAAAGCAGTTATATAAATTTTTTGGATCAGACCATTTGCCGGTCTATTCGCAAAATTTTTTTAAACAACTTATTCTCCGCCTAAAACGACAGATCATCCTTACGCATATAACATTCAATCAGCCAATTTTATTTTCTGTCCGTTTTTCTTCAAGAATAGCTTATTATCTGATCTTGTAATGGTTAAACCCGTTTATTTGCCAGGCCCCAGGTGCCATGCCCCGATGAAGTACCAGGCTGTGTGCTAAAATACTGGGCCAGGGCCCTGTGAAAACCTCTTCATAGACTTTTCAATTTATCTTTGGAAATCTCGATTTTTCCCCTTAAGTGGAAGGAATCTTTGATAATTCCCTTACATAAAAAAGGGGGAAAGTCCGATGCTGCCAACTAAAGAGGTATCTCTAAATTGTTGGCAATTCCAAAGTCATTTGAAAAATTAATTACTCCGAATTTGCAACACCTCTTCTCTTTGATCGTCTCTCCTTGTCAATGGAGATTATGTCTTTTTATCGTTTTTGCCTTCTGCAGGCCACGTAAACTCTGTATGGAATTGCATTAAAGAAATTAAGTCAGGTTAATGATCTCAGCGTCCTATTAGACACTAAACTTAAATTTTCCGAACATATTTTCACAATGGTTCATAAGGCCAAAGCAGTCATTGGTTTCATTAAAAGGTGGTCAAAACTATTTGACGACCCCTACATAACTAAAACTCTATTAATTTCTTTGGTCCGTCCAATGCTGGAGTACGGTTCATATGTCTGGAGTCCCCAATATGGAGTACATTAGGACCGCATAGAATCCGTTCAAACGAATTTCTTAACTTTTTCACTTAGAGGTCTTAACTGAGATGCAAATCTTAATCTTCCATCTTATAGTTGCAGACTCCTACTAATAAACTTACCTAGCTTAACAAATCGTAGGACAATACTCGGTGTAGTTTTTCTGCATAACCTAATCCATGGGGATATAGATAGCCAGCATTTACTAACACGCTTAATTTTTAACATTCCCAATAGAAGGACTAGAAACTTTAGTCCTCTATTCCTTAGCCATTGTAGTTCGACATATGCACAGCACGACCCTTTTAGGGTATTATGTTTGAACTACAATGGTCTCTACTCTATTACATCTCTTTCCTGTCCCTCTAAATTAAAATATAGAATTTTAAATTTCCTTACTAACTCCTCTTAGCTTAACAAATTTTAAATAGCTTAATATGTTCTAACAAATCGTTTCTCGAGCGCCCCTCGGTCGTCTGGGCCTCTAAGCTTTATGATGAATACAGGAATGCTAGCTGATGCTCTTATTGATGCACAAGCCATTTCCAAATTCTGAAAGACCGCGAAAGAAAAAAAAAAGAAACCATGCTAGCAAGGATAAATTATTTAGCTAAGTTATAAAACTTTATCGGATCCTGAGTAAACTGAATCCGACAGCGGCGAATATAGCTACTATACTATTTCGCGTTATGCTCGGTGAAATAAGACCAAGCTACTACGTATCTTGAGTAACTAATTGTACAGCCAGTATATTTTTATTTATTTAGGAGTCTAATTTTTATGTTTCTTAAGCATTGAACACGATTTTAGATACAAATTCTAAAGATAGAGTTTCAAGGGATTGGATTAAAACCGATCCCCTGCAGACTGTTACAAATACAATTAAGAAAGGGTCGCATAACATGTCAGCCTACAGTGCGTTGGTAAGTAGTTTTTAATAGACTTAAAATTTTCATTTATCTTTCATGTAAGAGAATAATGTGAAAATAAAACTATTTCCGACCGGAACTCATTGGAGTAACGCCAGAAATTATTGAAAATCATCTAAACAATGTTCTTTAAGCCTTAAATACCAATGCGGATTTGTTGAAACGGACGGACATTTCCATAGTACGCAGTAATCAAAGAATGAATTTGAATGTGGATGAGCAGCTGACCTAAAGAATTTGTTACGTGCATAGTTTTAGCGTGTGTCATGTCGAACATGCCCGCATAAAAATAGTGAATCATCAAAATTTGACCATTTTATCTCTGGGATATTTAAGTCACCCAAAGCTACCAGCTGGTCACAATGGGACATAAGATTCAAAACGGACTAAACAACGGGAAAATTCTGCCAGTATGTGGGCGGTTCGGACAAAGGAGATAATGAATAAACAGCTAATATATGAAAATTCCCATTCATTTAAAAAATTCAAACATACAAATTTTCATTCAAATAAAACAATTTTGAAAGAACATGGCGCCTAATGTATTTATATTTATAATTACTTCTGTCGTCTACCTTTATACTGTCTTTTGTTTTGGATTTGATGTAAGCGTAGGTATAAATAAGCTGTAGTATGGCCCAGAAACAAATATATGTTTCGATGGAGGAATCACCTTTATGGGTTTTGGTGTTGCAGGTAGAAAAACTGCCACATAAGCAGACCCTAGTGGTCGGTACGGCAGTTTACCCTGTTTGGGTGAATCTAACGCGAGTTTCGTTTGATTGAATTCGTGGTATTAATTAAGGTGAGGATATATCGAACAATTGCTAATTTTTACTGAGAAGTTCGGACGCAAATTATTCTCAGTTTCACCCCTTGGCGTAGCCAGAGATATGAGCGGCTGCGTCATTGTCGGCTGAACAAGCGTAAGCGGATCACTATAGCAGATTTTTTATGCCTTGGGAACTCATTTAGCAGCGGAAGACCGCTAAACTGAGAGTCAAGCTGGTAATTGATTTTGCGATAACCAGTGATCAACCCTTTAAATCCGCTCTTTGTCTGTCACGTGAACGATCTTATTTTTTCCTGGGCAGTACGACATCCGAAACTGAAGCAGTCTTCACCCGGCACAGTTGGCATGTACAACGTTGTCGCATAGCAGGTAGACTGGGACGTTATGGAAGACTGGGATGACGATTATGTTTTATTACAAAATTTAATTAACCAGACTAATTTAAATTCCATATAAAAAGCTTAAAACATATCAACAATAAAAATATACCTTGAAGCACTGTACCAAATAGAGACAAAGTGGGAGCTTTGAAGAGACCGATAGATGAGGCAAAGGAAATGGGCACAAATATAGATAGGAATCTTTATTACACAAGAGAAAATGACACAAAAAAGGCGAAGAAGCGAAGCCCATCTATGCTTGGATTAAAGTTTAAATATGTTTTTATTCGCCTCCCAATATATAACAGCACATGCGGTGCACTAAATTTTTTGTATTAAGTGAAACGTTTATTTAACTTAAATATTAATTTGGTAAACACTGGTTTACAAAAAAATGTATATAAAAACGCAGAGCCTACAAAAAAACGACTATTCACTTAAGAATAAGTGAAGATTTGGATTTACAGTTGGAAATATTTTTTTGTAATAAGTCGATATTTTGGTATCGACGATTTGGTTGGTAATTTTATTTTAGGAAATGTGGAGCCAACTCCTGGAATCCAATTTTGATGATTCGCTGATCTTAAGCTAAATTTTTTTAGATGAAACAAATTGCTTGTCTGTCTTGATTTCCTATCCTGCTGAGATGCCCATTTTTTGGGCCAACTTCATTTATTTAAGCGGCGGAGGATCCTTTGTCTATTAATGCAAATAAGCGGAAATAAGTTTGAATCGGTCCGATTGTGATTAAAAGTAGGGGCTTCTGTAAATGGCGTAGCATACTGTTATGATACTACTTACAATCTTTGGGATAACAATTTTACAACAGCTTTTTAAGCTTTTTCTCCAACGGATAAAGCCTTATATGGCTACAAAATAAAAACCAAATAATTGCCATAGTCCATATTTTATCAATGGCGTTATTACTGCAAAATTCGCAGTTTTCACCTTCTCCTTAAATTACAGGGTTACAAGCAGATGCGCGTCCTAAAAAAAAGAAATTTAGAACTTGTTTAAGACTATTATTATTTACTTAAGTAGAACCTACTTTTAAGGTGATAATATTATGTCGATCATGTTTTTTCCAAAAAAACGAATATTTTACAATTCCACTTCTGCAGCTGTTGTGGGAAACGTCTTCGAAAAAATTGACCTTTGCGGTGATTTTTTTTTGTCGGTTTAGAATATCCAACTTCCGAAAAAGTTATTCTTTAAATAAATTCCCATTAACATTTTAGGCAAAAATTTTATTGTTTGCTACGGTATTAGATTAGAGACGTAGGTTGACTATTCGGTTGACGTTCGCATAGGGATCTTACTAATCAATTTACTTAACAACACAGGATTATTTAAGTGTTGTGTGCAGATATTAAAAATACTGTTAAGTTTCAGACTTCAGCGGCAAACAGGATAATCTTGTGCAGGAAATTTTGGTCTAAGATTGGCAACATTTCTGGTGTTTTATTTAGTTGGCTCCTTATAAGTAGACTAAATAATTTTACTCAGTGTAGGATGAATGATTTAGGATTGTAGGATTTAGGATTTTACTAAGATATGGATGCCACCCTGTACGACCCCAGCCATCGATGCGTTTCTAATAGAAGAAGCAGCGATGATATTAATGAAGGAATCTACCTTTTGCTTATACTTATCCAGACTCTACCATTCCAATAATCTTTTGCATGACTTTCTCTGTGAGTTTTGCAACAGGCTTAGCCGTTTTCTATAATAGTTTTTTCTACCATATCGATGTCGGATCCTTCGATGGGGTCTTCCCAATTGAACTCGGTGCATTTTCATTATTTTTCCAAAGTTTTTACCACTGCGCGTATTCCCCATTCTATAGATATCAATCCAATCTGTAACGAATGTATTATTTACAATTTAGATTAAAAATAAGTTACCTTTCATAATACCTGCATAAATGCACTTAAAAGAACATGCCAAAAACAAAGCAAAAAAGATATTTCTCTATTATTTTAGGTTTATTACCCCCCTGGGGCCAAACTTGCAACCAAACGGTCAAAAAACCCATTATTCTCGAAATTATAAAACACAACAGAAGGGGGGCTTTTAGGTTAGTAAAGTTAGCGTAAGCATCATTTTCTCATGACACTATCCTTAGTCATTTTTGTGATAAAAAAATGCAATATAGGGACATAAAACTACACATTATAAACTATTCTTATTCGGCAAGTGCAAAAAAAACTAATTAATACATAGACATGTACATAAAATGTTCATAAAAATTTTGTATTTTTAATTCCCAACAAAATAATAAAATTCAGATATATCTTTATCTCTATCATTTTATAATTGTATTTATTTAATTATCTAAAATGAGTTTTATAATGTTTCTAATAGTTAGATTGCCTTTTACAAATTGATTTTATCATTTCAATATTTTGGAACTATAGCTTTGATCGGTGACCATGAATAGCTAAAAACGACATTCAAATGCGCAACCTTCCTCTATCTATTATCTAACTATTTCTAAACTAACTATTATCCATTTTAGCTATGGATAAACATAATTTGAAAATATTTGCAATCTCCCTGAGTGAACCAACTAATAGATAGAGAGTGAGAGAAGAAAAAAATAGAAATAGAACAAAAAAATCGCGTAAAAATGGTAACCGCTAACTAAATGACTAATGTACCTGTTTATAAATTTAAAAAAACGCATTTCAAGTGTACATTGGCTTAAGTGTATACTGTAATATTATTTTCTTCAATCGTCTTTTTAAATAATAAACAATTTTGATTGTTTTTAGTTTTACTTAATTTATATGTTGTTACAATATTTGTTTCAATGTACTTAATAAATTCTTTTTCTCAAAAGGTGTGTTGACAAATTGCTATATTGTTTGTTAAAATCTTTTAAATACATTGATCTGTTACTATATATTTTTGGTCCAATACATTTTCCGAAGGATTTGCAGATTTTCAATATAATAAACAATATTCATAAAATATTCGAATTTTTCATTTATGTCAATTTGGCGACCTGCGTTATCAGGATATTTAATTATTCTGTATTTTTGAACATATTTAAATTATGTTGGTATATGAACTAATATAAAAGTATTTTTGGTTTGACTGCATGTCCAAGTGGAAGTTTCTCTTCATTTATATCATCTAAATCTTCCTGTTTTAATATTTTTAGATTAAATATTCCTATTCTTGTCAACTGGATTCCCATTTGTAAGTCTTCAATATATTCTAGAAAAATATATATATAAATACCTAAAAATATGCAAAATATTTTTTTTCTTCTGCGTGTTTAGTTATTATTCGTGATGTGTTTGTATTTCTTCTTGAACTGTATGTTACGAATTGTAGACTGCACTTTAAATCTCCTTCTATGCTTACTTGGTAGTCCTTCCAATTTCAGGCAATTCTGACTCGGCTAAAACCATTTTGTAGGAGTAGTTGGGAGTGCGCCGATACTAAAGGGTGGGCCATCTAGCGTTTGCTTTTTGAACTATCGATAATTTTGACTTTGATATTTCGAATGTCATTGTCAATGTGTCAGAAACTGCAAGAAAATTGCGGTCAAAATTCGGAAACAATGAAACGCCTATCAGATAGTTTGTGGATAGTTTTGTGAAGCTTGTGCGTGAGACTGGATCGTTGATGGATAAAAAAAAACACGTTTACGTGCTCATTCAGTTCGGTTGGTCGAAAACATCCAATGTGGCCGAATGTGTCAATGACAATCCGTCGACTCGGCACCATGTTCAAGAGTTGGACATTTTGTGCACTTTCCTGCAGCGGATTTTAACCAAAGACCTTCGTCTAAGGCCATATTAGATTCTGTTGGTTCAGTAGCTTAAGCTGCATGACCATTCAATGCGTTTTCGGTTCGCGGAATGGGCTCAGGAGCGCTTGGTCGAAGATGACCATTTTTACCGAAAAATCGTGTTTTTAATAAGGCCCATTTCCACCTCGGTGGTTATGTTAATAAGCAAAACTGTCGCATTTGGGGTTTAGAAAGCCAATGCAAGTTATATGACGCCTTATTTACTAAAGGGCCCATACCCAATTTATATACAACATTGAGCCGAGAACTAATTTCCAAATAACTTGAAGAGATCCGAAATAAATCCGTGGTCAGCTATTTCAGTCAAGTACTCCTTCAAAATATTCCTATCCAAATCAGTTCCCACAGTCCGCTAAGTGATTCCAAGCGGTCCCTAATGTTCGCCAAGCTAAACATAAATTTCCGCCCAATTACAGATTTCGAGTTAATTGACAAATTGCATCATTCTATTTTCCGTCTCTCTTGAGTCAATCTCTTAATCAGTTTTTGGGATAAATATTTTAAGCCGAGCTTTGATTAATGATTATTGATCTAGAGATCAGCAGTCCGATTTTGAGATCCGAACCGACCAGAATAACAATTTAAAAAAAAATTATAAGAGCAGTGAATTAAATAATTTCGACCCATTAATAAATTGAAATTTAGAACTTGTTTAAGACTATTATTATTTACTTAAGTAGAACCTACTTTTAAGGTGATAATATTATGTCGATCATGTTTTTTCCAAAAAAACGAATATTTTACAATTCCACTTCTGCAGCTGTTGTGGGAAACGTCTTCGAAAAAATTGACCTTTGCGGTGATTTTTTTTTGTCGGTTTGGAATATCCAACTTCCGAAAAAGTTATTCTTTAAATAAATTCCCATTAACATTTTTGGCAAAAATTTTATTGTTTGCTACGGTATTAGATTAGAGACGTAGGTTGACTATTCGGTTGACGTTCGCATAGGGATCTTACTAATCAATTCACTTAACAACACAGGATTATTTAAGTGTTGTGTGCAGATATTAAAAATACTGTTAAGTTTCAGACTTCAGCGGCAAACAGGATAATCTTGTGCAGGAAATTGTGGTCTAAGATTGGCAACATTTCTGATGTGTTTTATTTAGTTGGCTCCTTATAAGTAGACTAAATAATTTTACTCAGTGTAGGATGAATGATTTAGGATGTAGGATTGTAGGATTTTACTAAGATATGGATGCCACCCTGTACGACCCCAGCCATCGATGCGTTTCTAATAGAAGAAGCAGCGATGATATTAATGAAGGAATCTACCTTTTGCTTATACTTATCCAGACTCTACCATTCCAATAATCTTTTGCATGACTTTCTCTGTGAGTTTTGCAGCAGGCTTAGCCGTTTTCTATAATAGTTTTTTCTACCATATCAATGTCGGATCCTTCGATGGGGTCTTCCCAATTGAACTCGGTGCATTTTCATTATTTTTCCAAAGTTTTTACCACTGCGCGTATTCCCCATTCTGTAGATATCAATCCAACCTGTAACGAATGTATTATTTACAATTTAGATTAAAAATAAGTTACCTTTCATAATACCTGCATAAATGCACTTAAAAGAACATGCCAAAAACAAATCAAAAAAGATATTTCTCTATTATTTTAGGTTTATTACCCCCCTGGGGCCAAACTTGCAACCAAACGGTCAAAAAACCCATTATTCTCTAAATTATTAAACACAACAGAAGGGGGGGCTTTTAGGTTAGTAAAGTTAGCGTAAGCATCATTTTCTCATGACACTATCCTTAGTCATTTTTGTGATAAAAAAATGCAATATAGGGACATAAAACTACACATTATAAACTATTCTTATTCGGCAAGTGCAAAAAAAACTAATTAATACATAGACATGTACATAAAATGTTCATAAAAATTTTGTATTTTTAATTCCCAACAAAATAATAAAATTCAGATATATCTTTATCTCTATCATTTTATAATTGTATTTATTTAATTATCTAAAATGAGTTTTATAATGTTTCTAATAGTTAGATTGCCTTTTACAAATTGATTTTATCATTTCAATATTTTGGAACTATAGCTTTGATCGGTGACCATGAATAGCTAAAAAACGACATTCAAATGCGCAACCTTCCTCTATCTATTATCTAACTATTTCTAAACTAACTATTATCCATTTTAGCTATGGATAAACATAATTTGAAAATATTTGCAATCTCCCTGAGTGAACCAACTAATAGATAGAGAGTGAGAGAAGAAAAAAAATAGAAATAGAACAAAAAAATCGCGTAAAAATGGTAACCGCTAACTAAATGACTAATGTACTTGTTTATAAATTTAAAAAAACGCATTTCAAGTGTACATTGGCATAAGTGTATACTGTAATATTATTTTCTTCAATCGTCTTTTTAAATAATAAACAATTTTGATTGTTTTTAGTTTTACTTAATTTATATGTTGTTACAATATTTGTTTCAATGTACTTAATAAATTCTTTTTCTCAAAAGGTGTGTTGACAAATTGCTATATTGTTTGTTAAAATCTTTTAAATACATTGATCTGTTACTATATATTTTTGGTCCAATACATTTTCCGAAGGATTTGCAGATTTTCAATATAATAAACAATATTCATAAAATATTCGAATTTTTCGTTTATGTCAATTTGGCGACCTGCGTTATCAGGATATTTAATTATTCTGTATTTTTGAACATATTTAAATTATGTTGGTATATGAACTAATATAAAAGTATTTTTGGTTTGACTGCATGTCCAAGTGGAAGTTTCTCTTCATTTATATCATCTAAATCTTCCTGTTTTAATATTTTTAGATTAAATATTCCTATTCTTGTCAACTGGATTCCCATTTGTAAGTCTTCAATATATTCTAGAAAATATATATATAAATACCTAAAAATATGCAAAATATTTTTTTTCTTCTGCGTGTTTAGTTATTATTCGTGATGTGTTTGTATTTCTTCTTGAACTGTATGTTACGAATTGTAGACTGCACTTTAAATCTCCTTCTATGCTTACTTGGTAGTCCTTCCAATTTCAGGCAATTCTGACTCGGCTAAAACCATTTTGTAGGAGTAGTTGGGAGTGCGCCGATACTAAAGGGTGGGCCATCTAGCGTTTGCTTTTTGAACTATCGATAATTTTGACTTTGATATTTCGAATGTCATTGTCAATGTGTCAGAAACTGCAAGAAAATTGCGGTCAAAATTCGGAAACAATGAAACGCCTATCAGATAGTTTGTGGATAGTTTTGTGAAGCTTGTGCGTGAGACTGGATCGTTGATGGATAAAAAAAAACACGTTTACGTGCTCATTCAGTTCGGTTGGTCGAAAACATCCAATGTGGCCGAATGTGTCAATGACAATCCGTCGACTCGGCACCATGTTCAAGAGTTGGACATTTTGTGCACTTTCCTGCAGCGGATTTTAACCAAAGACCTTCGTCTAAGGCCATATTAGATTCTGTTGGTTCAGTAGCTTAAGCTGCATGACCATTCAATGCGTTTTCGGTTCGCGGAATGGGCTCAGGAGCGCTTGGTCGAAGATGACCATTTTTACCGAAAAATCGTGTTTTTAATAAGGCCCATTTCCACCTCGGTGGTTATGTTAATAAGCAAAACTGTCGCATTTGGGGTTTAGAAAGCCAATGCAAGTTATATGACGCCTTATTTACTAAAGGGCCCATACCCAATTTATATACAACATTGAGCCGAGAACTAATTTCCAAATAACTTGAAGAGATCCGAAATAAATCCGTGGTCAGCTATTTCAGTCAAGTACTCCTTCAAAATATTCCTATCCAAATCAGTTCCCACAGTCCGCTAAGTGATTCCAAGCGGTCCCTAATGTTCGCCAAGCTAAACATAAATTTCCGCCCAATTACAGATTTCGAGTTAATTGACAAATTGCATCATTCTATTTTCCGTCTCTCTTGAGTCAATCTCTTAATCAGTTTTTGGGATAAATATTTTAAGCCGAGCTTTGATTAATGATTATTGATCTAGAGATCAGCAGTCCGATTTTGAGATCCGAACCGACCAGAATAACAATTTAAAAAAAAATTATAAGAGCAGTGAATTAAATAATTTCGACCCATTAATAAATTGAAATTTAGAACTTGTTTAAGACTATTATTATTTACTTAAGTAGAACCTACTTTTAAGGTGATAATATTATGTCGATCATGTTTTTTCCAAAAAAACGAATATTTTACAATTCCACTTCTGCAGCTGTTGTGGGAAACGTCTTCGAAAAAATTGACCTTTGCGGTGATTTTTTTTTGTCGGTTTGGAATATCCAACTTCCGAAAAAGTTATTCTTTAAATAAATTCCCATTAACATTTTTGGCAAAAATTTTATTGTTTGCTACGGTATTAGATTAGAGACGTAGGTTGACTATTCGGTTGACGTTCGCATAGGGATCTTACTAATCAATTCACTTAACAACACAGGATTATTTAAGTGTTGTGTGCAGATATTAAAAATACTGTTAAGTTTCAGACTTCAGCGGCAAACAGGATAATCTTGTGCAGGAAATTGTGGTCTAAGATTGGCAACATTTCTGATGTGTTTTATTTAGTTGGCTCCTTATAAGTAGACTAAATAATTTTACTCAGTGTAGGATGAATGATTTAGGATGTAGGATTGTAGGATTTAGGATTTTACTAAGATATGGATGCCACCCTGTACGACCCCAGCCATCGATGCGTTTCTAATAGAAGAAGCAGCGATGATATTAATGAAGGAATCTACCTTTTGCTTATACTTATCCAGACTCTACCATTCCAATAATCTTTTGCATGACTTTCTCTGTGAGTTTTGCAGCAGGCTTAGCCGTTTTCTATAATAGTTTTTTCTACCATATCAATGTCGGATCCTTCGATGGGGTCTTCCCAATTGAACTCGGTGCATTTTCATTATTTTTCCAAAGTTTTTACCACTGCGCGTATTCCCCATTCTGTAGATATCAATCCAACCTGTAACGAATGTATTATTTACAATTTAGATTAAAAATAAGTTACCTTTCATAATACCTGCATAAATGCACTTAAAAGAACATGCCAAAAACAAATCAAAAAAGATATTTCTCTATTATTTTAGGTTTATTACCCCCCTGGGGCCAAACTTGCAACCAAACGGTCAAAAAACCCATTATTCTCGAAATTATAAAACACAACAGAAGGGGGGGCTTTTAGGTTAGTAAAGTTAGCGTAAGCATCATTTTCTCATGACACTATCCTTAGTCATTTTTGTGATAAAAAAATGCAATATAGGGACATAAAACTACACATTATAAACTATTCTTATTCGGCAAGTGCAAAAAAAACTAATTAATACATAGACATGTACATAAAATGTTCATAAAAATTTTGTATTTTTAATTCCCAACAAAATAATAAAATTCAGATATATCTTTATCTCTATCATTTTATAATTGTATTTATTTAATTATCTAAAATGAGTTTTATAATGTTTCTAATAGTTAGATTGCCTTTTACAAATTGATTTTATCATTTCAATATTTTGGAACTATAGCTTTGATCGGTGACCATGAATAGCTAAAAAACGACATTCAAATGCGCAACCTTCCTCTATCTATTATCTAACTATTTCTAAACTAACTATTATCCATTTTAGCTATGGATAAACATAATTTGAAAATATTTGCAATCTCCCTGAGTGAACCAACTAATAGATAGAGAGTGAGAGAAGAAAAAAATAGAAATAGAACAAAAAAATCGCGTAAAAATGGTAACCGCTAACTAAATGACTAATGTACTTGTTTATAAATTTAAAAAAACGCATTTCAAGTGTACATTGGCTTAAGTGTATACTGTAATATTATTTTCTTCAATCGTCTTTTTAAATAATAAACAATTTTGATTGTTTTTAGTTTTACTTAAATTATATGTTGTTACAATATTTGTTTCAATGTACTTAATAAATTCTTTTTCTCAAAAGGTGTGTTGACAAATTGCTATATTGTTTGTTAAAATCTTTTAAATAAATTGATCTGTTACTATATATTTTTGGTCCAATACATTTTCCGAAGGATTTGCAGATTTTCAATATAATAAACAATATTCATAAAATATTCGAATTTTTCGTTTATGTCAATTTGGCGACCTGCGTTATCAGGATATTTAATTATTCTGTATTTTTGAACATATTTAAATTATGTTGGTATATGAACTAATATAAAAGTATTTTTTGTTTGACTGCATGTCCAAGTGGAAGTTTCTCTTCATTTATATCATCTAAATCTTCCTGTTTTAATATTTTTAGATTAAATATTCCTATTCTTGTCAACTGGATTCCCATTTGTAAGTCTTCAATATATTCTAGAAAAATATATATATAAATACCTAAAAATATGCAAAATATTTTTTTTTCTTCTGCGTGTTTAGTTATTATTCGTGATGTGTTTGTATTTCTTCTTGAACTGTATGTTACGAATTGTAGACTGCACTTTAAATCTCCTTCTATGCTTACTTGGTAGTCCTTCCAATTTCAGGCAATTCTGACTCGGCTAAAACCATTTTGTAGGAGTAGTTGGGAGTGCGCCGATACTAAAGGGTGGGCCATCTAGCGTTTGCTTTTTGAACTATCGATAATTTTGACTTGGATATTTCGAATGTCATTGTCAATGTGTCAGAAACTGCAAGAAAATTGCGGTCAAAATTCGGAAACAATGAAACGCCTATCAGATAGTTTGTGGATAGTTTTGTGAAGCTTGTGCGTGAGACTGGATCGTTGATGGATAAAAAAAACACGTCTGACGTTTCACACATTTATACTGTGTGTGTGTGGCAGAGCTCGGGCAGAGAAATTTCCTATCCCCTCGGGATAGGTCCGTGCCGACCACTGCTGTAAAGTTGTTAGGGGCCTTGCCTATACCAGGTAAGACCAGGTATTTTTAGTTGTTGATAAGGGGAATATATTACATGTAAATCTTTCAAAAGAGTCCTTTTTAGCTTTTTATGTATTTGGGGCATTGGCGAGAGGATGCAAAGTGTTTTCCGAGTCAATTGGCACATTTAATTTTCGTGCATTTGTTTGGGGTGTGGGGGGGGGTTCGCATTTCATATGGTTGGTGTATTTCTCTGCCCGAGCTCTGCCACACACCCACAGTATAAATGTGTGAAACGTCATGCCCACAGCCTACTTTCTGCTATTCTTTTCTAAAACTAATGCGTTTAAATCATATCAATGTATTGGGGTGCCGACCACTGGTTTAGGGCTATGTTTATGTCTGGATGGCGATGATAATGGCATGGGAAAGGGCTTGTGTCTAATTGATTTTAATTATTTCAATAGTAGGCTCTGGAATGTTGTTTATAAATGAACTGATAAGTTTTATTATTAATGGGTATGACTGGTTGTATTAGGGTTTTGTTACCTTGGTTATAGCAAAGATTATAAAGTACATAGATGGGTCATCTCATACAAAGAAAAAATTTTCTATGGCGGGTTCCAGCAGTGGAACCCGCTGGAACGAGCGGGTTCCATTGCGTGACAAGTTAAGTTTAAGAAATTTTTCGCGCGACAACGAATGAGAAATAGCCGAGTGGTAGAGTGCTTGGCTGATGTGCAAAGTAAAACGAGTTCAAACCAGGCTCGGGACATTCATTTTTTTTTAATTTTAAATCTATTTATATTATATTTTTATTCTTTTAATGTGTTTTCCTAAATTTATAATCCAATAAAAGAAATACAAAATTGTAAAATCACCTTAACATTTTCTCAGTTCGTAGTGGAACCCGCTGTAAAAATGTCTATAAGTGCGGGTTCTACGGCATTTTGGCAGGCCGCGTCGTGGAACCCGCTCTCAAATGTTTTCATTTTTTCCGTCGTGGAACCCGCTGTAATAATGAAAACATTTGAGAGCGGGTTCCATGACAAACGGCTGGCAGATGAGAGAGGGAAAGAGAGAATTCTATTTTTAGATCGTAACATCTTTGGAACGATGAAAGTTTGAAACGTTGTAATCGAACCAATGTATGAGTAAAGAGATCAGAAATATCTTTTACTATCCTTACTCGTCAGCTCTGTTTTTGGTATGGATTCTAGCGCCTCCTTGAAGACCATTTTTAAGTATCATAATATCAACTTTGAGGGTGGCCTAGATGGATAGTGGGTCCTTATTCATGGGGTCCTGGGTTCGATTTCATTAGCGGGCGGATGTTTCAATTTTGATAAAGTTTTAGTTTTATGATTCTTTTTATATTTACTTTTATTTTTGTATTATTCTTTTTTTTTACTTTTAATTTTTACGTTATTATTATTATTTTTAATTGCATTATTAACAATTAACAATTGTTGTAAAAATAAGTGACGGACGTGTCGGATGACAAAATGCCGGAAGGACTCCCTTGAAATTTTATTAGCATTTTATTAGCGGGACATAATGAAGGATAAAAAAATTTTACAATTGTAAAATTTAAGAAAAATACTACAATTAAAGAAAAATAAATAAAAAATAATAATTATAAAAGAAAGAAAAAGTTACACATAGAGTTACTACTACAATTAAGTTACTACTCTATAATTTATTATATTTATACACATATACTTTCATACTTTATATATTACAGTGTAACAATTACACATTATTAAAAAATATTATCCATTAAAAACACCTCTTGACAAGCACAAAAAAGCCACGTCCAAAAAAAGTTGATTGGTACATAAAACTATACATTAAAAAGTATTCTTATTCGTCACGTGCAAGAAAAAACTACCTACATAATTAAAACAAAGACACTTGGCGTGCAATAGTTTTGAATGTGACATTTTATGTTATGATTACATTCATAACATAAGTCTCAAAGAATACTTTCGAATTGAATAGAATGAAGTGAAAGAAATGTTAGAATGAAATGTCATTGAATGAGTACAAGTTTGTGTTCCTCTCATAATTTGACAGGTCAAACTAAATGAAAGAGAATGAACGAAACTAAAAGTAATATTAAAGATTTGACAGATGCCTTGTATAGTATACAATGTATACTTGAATCATTCGAGTTGTTGGATAGATTTCAATACATTCCCTTTTTGACAAATCCGGAACAAAGCCGAAATTATGGAAAACCAAATAGAAAAAGAAGCCGACGAATCTGTATGTATTTGTAGACCTCGTAAATTAGTTTATTATTAAATGCAAGGCGACTTTTGCTTATTCCGCCTCTGCAAGAATCCTTCACAAGTTGTTAAGGGACTGTCACAGATGGCAGCTGGTTGAAAAGACAGTTTACCAGCGCCGGTGGGTCACTCGTTAGCTGCCGTTGTTTGGTTAGCTATTAAGTGACTACTGCTAAGAGACTGTGTTTTCGGCAAGATGCTCCGTCCCCGGTGGATCAAGAAATTTCAGGATATTGCAATATTAATGTAGCATACACCATTGATTTTAATGCTTTAGGCTGGTGGCATATGAATAAGCAATTTTTTCCGCTATTGCACAAAACAAGCTGCAAAATATTTTGCATTCCAGGGAGCAGCGCGGCGTCAGAACGTACATTTTCAAACGCAAGAAATTTAATTACAGAAAAGCGGTGTCAAATAGCCACTAATTCAGAAAACATAAACAAAATAATGTTTTTGCATTCAAATTTAAATGACTTGTAAATTATTGTTAATATAGAAATAAATTAAATTAAAACTTAAACATTAGCAACTCGAATCATTCGAATGAAACGTCTCTGTTTTTAACCATCTCAATTCATTCAATTCGTTTCCTTTTTCCTATTAGTTGTGCAAATGAGTAAGAGAACCGAATCTCTCACACCGGGTTGGCTTTGCTTTCAAATTCACTTAACTCATTTTGAGCATTGTACATTTGAATGTGTGTTTTTTGACACTCATGCAGATGTCTTGTATGTATGTATATTGAATTTTTCGTAAAAATTATAATAGTAAAGAATAATAACGCAAAAATGGATAAAAGATATGTCTTTTGGGCATATAATGCAATGAAAATTGTTACGGAAAAATTTAAAAAAAAAAATTAAGCAGTAATTTAATTTGGGAAAGAGGCAAGAGTTTAACGTTGAAAAGAGGCGGGAATACCATGGAGGAAAGAGACGGAGTTTCTTCCTTTAATCCTGTTCGAACTCTCGGCTTCTTTCAGGTCGTTTCATGCTCGTTTTCGAAATTCCCTAATGTAAGAACATTTTCAAAAATCTCCTTACAGAATTCCTCGACGCTTGTATGGGAAGTTATACAGATGTAGCTCTTTTACGGCCGCCGATGAATAGGAGGGCTTGTTGCCCAGGCCTGTTCCAGATCAAATGGTACTACAGGCATGTTGTCATCTAAACTTGGGAAAGCTAATCTGCCTTAAACAGTTTCAGGGTGCAAAATGAGAGGAAATTTCTCTGTTGCAACACACAGATAGTACAAACGAACCAGTAATGCTCGTAGTCACCTTAAATTCGTTACATTGCAAAAATGCCAATTTACTGTTTTCGGAATACTGACAAACATAAATACTTATTAACATGCATACATTGTACATATGTATGCAGAAGTTTTTCTTAAAAGCACCGCTTCAACCTGAAAAAAGTTTAATGCGCATGCCTCCATTGACAGTTAAGTCTGACTTACAGGAGAACTAATATAAGAGAAATTAGTGCAAGTGTAGCGTAAATAAAACTTATTTTTATAGATGCCGGTTGTAAATTTCAAACTAACAAAGTATTCCTAAATCTTATATGTACATTTGAAGTATTCGCAAATGTATACATGTTTTTACTTTTCATTGGTGTTGGATATTTACACCCTAAAAAAAGTTCAAACCCTTGAGCTCATTCCTACTTCATTTTAAAAAAGATAAACAAGTTTATGGTTTCGTTTTAGACAACCAACAAAAAACAAGTTAAGGTTAAATACGTTTTACATACATATGCACATACTAAACAAAGATATGCGGCAATTGTTTTTTTATAGAAATATGTATATAAAATAAAATTCCTATTGAAAGACGTTATGTACTATGTATACATATGTATGTATGTACATATGTTTGTGTGTATTTAAATAACTATGAAACGCATCTGAGAAAAAAATAAACAATTATAATAGTAAAGAAAAATAACCTTTTTATGATAAATTGTATATGTACAATGTACATACATGTTTATAATCTCCAGTATATATGTACATTTAATATGTAATAATAATAATTTTTTACAATGTTGGTGAAATAAAAATCAGCGACGGAACAAGTATCATTAAACATGCAAACATCATAATCAAATGAATTCGGCGGCTTACTGTTTAAACTGCATATGAAATGAAAAATAGCAGGATAATCCAATATTTAATGGTGCATACCTCGTTATTCATGAAATGTAAGTCAAATTATACAGTTATATAAGTCAATGTTTATAAATAACACGGTAGTGATGAGATATGTACATATGTACATATGTAATGCGCAGCGGTTATAAAACTTAGATTTGACTGTAAGAGCTCTTAAAATCAGATGTTTCTTTTACACGACGTACATATAGCTGTTGGAACTGATTGATCGGAAATGCTATAACTTTGATTTTTTTTTTAGTTAGAGAGTTCGTACGAATGCTATTTTTGGCACAATAATACTATACATCAAATTTTATAAGGACCGGCCGACCATATCCTATAGCTGACATATAGCTGAACAATCGGAAATGACCCAACTTTCGTGTTTTTAAGGACAGAAAGTTGGAACTTCGTATAGGTTATATTTTTGGTCAGTTGATCCCACCTATGTACTTACGTTAATTACGATCGGCCGACTATATCTTATAGCTGCCATCAAACTGAACGATCGGAAATGGTAAAAAAAATATTGTACCAACTTTGGTATTCTTGAAAATGGAAGCTTGGGACTATTTTTATACCCTTATAATTTTTTCCAAAAGTGTGCAACGCAGTGAAGGAGACATCTCCGACCTTATAAAGCATATATATTCTTGATCAGGATCACCTCCTGAGTTAATATGAGCATTTCCGTCTGTCTGTCTGTTTCTACGCGAACTAGTTTTTTCAGATTTAAAGTTATCGACTTGAAACTTTGCACACACCCTTCTTTGAACGCAGTATATGCTAATGGAAATGCTATAAGTTCGGTGTTTTTAGAGTAGGAGAGTTCGGATTTCGAATCCTATTTTTGACAAAATAATATGACGTACCAAATTTCATACGGATCAGCCGACTATATCCTATAGCTACCATATAACTGAAAGATCGGAAATTCCCTTATTTTCGTATTTTTTAAGACAGAAAGTTAAAACTTCGTACAGTTTATCGTACGGATCCCACCTACCAAATTAGGTGGTACCACCTACCGGCCAAACGATAGGCCGACTATATCTTAAAGCTGCCATATAAACTGAACTATCGGAAATGGTATTTGGTAAAAATAACAACTTTGGTGTTTTTGAAGATAGAAGTTTGGGCCATTTTTTATATTTTGTTTTGTAATGAATTTGTTATAGATATTATAATATTTTCATAAGGATCGGCCATCTATATCCAATTTTTGCGATATATATCCGGTTTTAACTGCAAGGGTATATCACTTCGGCTCCGCCCAAATATAGCTTTTCTTACTTGTTAGATTTTTTATTGTAATAAATAAAAAATTTTGGAATGTTTTTGGTAATCGCAAAGCCTATAAAATCTAGTAGTTTCTTTGGGTCTGCCGGCCAGTATGTTGGTGTGCCAGAAGAAACATAGTCGAGTTTTTTTCTTGACTTTGATATTTTCTGTATTTTCTATAGAGCTGCTTTCCTTATGGAGTCACGAGACGAGATCCTCAGTGTGTGTGTTTGGCATGGTGGTCTCCTGCTACTATGAAGTGGTCTCGTAGTGAGTTGGAAAACTACATAAACTCATCTTCAGCTATAGTGAAGCGAGAAGGCCAAAACACGGCGACTAGTGTAAGTTGGTTGCCAGTTGTATTTAGCTGTACATTTATAGATTTGGCCTTTAGGTAGTTATTAGCAAGTTTGTTATGATAGTGGTGCTTAATATGGCTTTTGATTAAGATTCCAGCCCCACCATGTGCTTTAACGTCTGGATGATTTGTGAGTGAGTGAATATCCCCGTAGTTAAAATTGTATTTGTTTGTAAGGTGTGTTTCTGATAGCAGCATTAATAAATTCCGTAAGGCTTTGTTGTAGGCTCCATACTATAGCTTTAAAGTTGCCGGCGATTGATATGTTCGCTTCTTGGAATGCTGATTGCAGAAATGAACTTTTTGAGGCAGGAGTGGCCAGTCCGGATTTTAAAGCGCTTTCGTATGTCACATTTTTGTCAGAGTCTATGGGGTCTGGTAAGGATCTGGCTGCAGTCGAGAAGAAGACTTCAGGGGTTTGATCTTGGGTGGGTGGGAACTATTTACTTTGGGTGCGGGCTGTAATTCCTCTTGTGGCCATGGTATACTTTAGCTATGTATGGTAGCCATATCCGAGTCCTGTTCTTCCTCTAAAGCGTTAACGTTTTGACAACGGGACAACGCGTCAGCGACAAAGTTTTCTTTGCCAGGTGTATACATCACCTTTGCACCGTGGTCGTCAATGATTTCTTTCCAGCGCTTAAGTTTAGTGTTAGGATTTTTATCAGAGACGGCGTAAGTGAGTGGCTGGTGGTCGGTAAAGATCTGTAAATTTTTTACTCCATACAAATAATTGCTGAGGTTTTGCAGTTCCCAGACTATTGCGAGGAGTTCCCGCTCGTCGGTTGCATAGTTATTTTCGTTATCACGCAGAGTGCGTGATATCATTGTCATTGGGCGACCATCCTGCGATAGAACCGCCCCTAGACCAAAACCTGACGCGTCCGTTGTTAGATCGAACGGTTTCTTATAGTCTGGGTAGGAAAGTAAAACATCTTCTGATGCTAGGATTTCTCTTAGTCTGCAGAATGTTTCCATCTGTTCTTTGTTCATTTCAATGCTTATTTTTCTTGATTGGTATTTGCTTATCTTACCGTTTTCGCCCTTAAGAATGCTAGTAAGAGGCCTAGCAATTGCTGCAAAATTCTTAACAAAGCATCTGTAGTAGCTAGCCAACCCTATGAAAGATCTTAGCTCGAAAAGGGTCTTTGGCTGGGGAAATTGCTTGATGGCCTTGACCTATTCGGGTGATGTCCGCAATCCCCCTTGCATCACTATGAATCCCAAGTATTCAACGCTCTTTTTGAAGAACTTTGATTTTTCTTGAGATACTCTCATACCTGCTTCGGAAAGTTTTCCTAGGACCTATTTTATGTCATTAAGATGGTCCTCTTTCGTTTTTGAGTATATTATGACATCGTCGACATAAACATAGCATATCTTTGAAATTCCATCTCGTAGGACATCATCGATAGCTCTTTGGAAAATGCTCGGAGCATTTTTTAGTCCAAATGGCAATCTACAGAATTCGTATTTACCATTATTTATTGAGAAAACCGTCTTCTGCCGGTCTCTCTCTGCCAGCTCTATTTGGTGAAAGACGGCTTTAAGGTCGAGTGTTGTAAAAAACTTTGACTCGCCCAGGTTCGATAATATTGTCGTAATCGCAGGGATAGGGTATCTATCGTCTACGGTTTTTTCGGCCTTATTACGCAGTCCGCTAGAAGTTGTTTAACCTCTGCGTTAACGAACTCAGTTACACCCATGGGGTGAGTACTTTGAGTACACCGGCTCCCCATTTGTTTTAATTTTAGCAACAGTATTTATATTGAAAGGAAGTGCTTCATTGAATATGGAAGCAAAACATTTCTTCTCGATTTTTGTAAAGCCGTGGATTGACTTTACGTTAAATGGGGCGTCCATAGCCACGACGCCTTTCAGCCCCGGGAGTGGAGTAATATAATTTTGAGGTACCTGTATCGATTAAAAGCTTTATTTCCCTTCCTGCCAGCGTACGCGTAATGTACGAGAGAAGTGACTTTACACTAAAAAATTAATTGCCCTGCGATTGCCCTGCTACCCATGCCGAAGGCTGTCTAAAACGGGATGAGGTATCCACATCCATTGGCTCCGCCCTTGTTTGTTCCTGGGCGTTTCCCGTATTACTATATGGTCTTTGTTTAAAAGAACCGAGTTTATTATTGCCCCCTTTTTGAGGTCTGGCAAAGTAAGGGGTCTTTTGCATTGCCCCCAAATTTCGGCTTTGTTCTTGGTCTGTGGACCAATTCTTCCAACCCGCTTGTCGCTGGTTGTTTGGTTTATTCACTTTTTCCTCGCTGTGTCGAGCAAAACTAGTCGCAAAAACACTTCTTTCGTTGCTCGATTTGGCTTCATGGGCCAATGCCGATGGCAAATCTTGTAGTTGCCCTCGACTGCTGCCCTCGTAAAGCTCGAATACCCTGTATTTTGCTGTGGCAGCCTGCCTCCAGGAGACGTAGCTCTCCTGTTTCCCTTCAAATTCTGGGACGGATTTTACTATATCTAGCGGTTCGGTACAATCTATTCCCGGTACAATTTTGATCTCCTGATCCGTTTTGATATCTGGAGCTTTGATTTTTAATGAGTTTATTTTTGCCATCAATGTGGCTACCTTCTCATCAAATTCTCGTTGTTGCCTTTCATGGCGTTCTCGATGGCTAGAAGCTGTTTGTACGGTCATTTTCGTTGTCGTAATTCTCCGATGGGTCGTCCCTCGCGTATGCAGCGTGTGCCTACCTTCGAGTACTCGACACTGCTGGAATTATACATACACACTTAGTCGCAGTTCGCACTAGGGTTACACCAACAAAGCCTCTCACCATACCGCGAGTGGAGGTTTCCGGAGCAGTTATAGCTACCAAACTCGCCACATGGATCCAGCAGCAACTTCACGTGCCTCAGATGCGGGTCACAGTGTACTACTGGTCAGACGCCATGATCGTGCTTCACTGGATAAATGGAGATCCATGCAGGTGGAAGACTTTTGTAGCCAATCGAATTGGCAGCATCCAAGAGGTCAGCTCTGCTTCACAGTGGGGTCATGTGTCTACGCAGGACAACCCTGCGGATTGTGCAACGCGCGGTTTAACCCCACTACAGCTCGCGCAGGATAAGCTCTGGTGGAGCGGCCCAGACTGGTTGCAGGAACCCGAAGATCATTGGCCCAAGGTAACTCTTACTTCTCCAGATCCGAGCACAATCTGCGAGGAACAGGCAGCATTCATTAATCGCTTTATCCATAATACTCGCTGCAAAAGGGAGGCTCGGCTTTCCGGACCAATTAGCGTAAAGGAGTTTTCCAAGGCAATGTATACTCTGGTTCGCGTTGTCCAACAGGAAGCATTCTCTCACGAACTGTCCAAGTTGCGAGCAAACAAATCGCTTTCAAAATCTAACAAGCTTAGCCAACTGTCGCCATTCATAGATGCCCAAGGGATCCTCAGAGTGCGGGGCAGACTTCGAAACGCTTTGCAGCTCACCACTCAACAATGCACGCCCATCATCCTACCGAAGTCACATCATTTTACGGACCTCGTCATAAAAAACGCCCATCTGAACACCATGCATGGGGGAGTGCAACTGACCCGTGCGATCATCCATCAGCAGTTTTGGATCATTAATGGCAAACAAGCGGTAAAAAGAGTTCTCCGACAGTGTGTGGCTTGCTTTCAGCATCGCCCTAAACCCTCTCGACAATTAATGGGTGATCTTCCATACCATCGTGTTAATCCGCCGAAAAGAGCGTTCGAAGCTACAGGTGTGGATTACACAGGATCTATCGATGTCAAGGCCTCGAGGTTCAGAGGACACACTACATACAAGGCCTATATTGCAGTATTCATTTGCCTCGCCAGTAAAGCTATCCATTTGGATCTGGTGACAGGACTCACAGCACAACATTTTCTCTGGGCTCTCCAACGGTTCATTGGACGCCGCGGTTTTGTGCGGCACATGTACAGTGACTGCGGCACAAATTTTATAGCAGCAGATAAATCCCTACAGTTATGGTCTAACGAGTTCCGGCAGGAAATCAACCAGACAGTCGTCCCAGAACTCACAAAGCGCTATATTCAGTGGGACTTTAACCCCCCACACAGCCCAAACTTCGGAGGACTTTGGGAGGCTAACGTCAAAGCCGTAAAGTCACATCTTCATCGTTCCTTCAAAGGATACCCAATGACTTATGAACAATTATCAACCGTTCTTATCCAGATCGAGGCCTGTCTTAACTCTCGGCCATTATGCCCGTTAACCGCGGATATTAACGATCTGCAAGTATTGACTCCAGCTCATTTTCTCATCGGAGACTCCATGCAATCGCTTCCTACCCCCAGTGACAAGGACAAGTCGCTCAACACACAGTTCATGGAGGGACAACGGATCCTACGCCAGCTCTGGAAAAGGTGGAGCTCAGATTGGTTGTCTCACCTTCAGGCACGCCCTAAGTGGAGACAAGAGGAAGAAAACCTACAGGTCAATGATCTAGTTATTATCAAGGACGACAGGACAGGTCCAACCGATTGGAAACTAGGTCGTGTTATAGAATTACACCCTGGAGCCGATGGGATGGTACGAGTTGCAACAATCTATACAGGTTCGGGTACATATAAGCGATCAGTATCCAAGATCTGCAGATTACCCATCCCGAATTACACGGAAGCTAAAGTCGAGGAAGCTAATCTTGAACAATAGTGATACACGCATTTGATCTCACATCCATATCACAGCAAACATTTCACCTGTTTCTTTCAGTTACCATTAGAAGGATGTCTTAATGCTGGACCCAGCATTGCGGGGTGGCATGTACGGTCATTTTCGTTGTCGTAATGTTCAATGTTAGTGCATCCCACAACCCTACAATCGATACCTGCTTGATGTCTATCGATCTCGAGACCCCGGTCCCTTTGGAAAGCGGGACATCTCTAAGCTTCTTCCAATTATTACGACTGAAACACATTTTGTTATACTGCCAACATTGTTTGATCTCTAAAATCAATTCAAATTAAATTCAGTGACATACTTGAAACAAACCCTGTGTTTTTATAAAACGGCAACAGCAAAGTCCCCATAGCAGACTTCTGCTAATCATTGACTCCCGTATTCTATCGGCGCAGTCACAACACTGTTCATGAGACATTTCTATTGTTTGACTGGAAAATTCAAAGGTTCTAGTTTTAAGAACGCTCTCTCGAACGAGGGTGTTAGTTGCGGCCCTACTGGTTGATGGATAAAAGTCCTCTGGTGAGCCCTTGACCCCCGAGATTTTCTATATTCTTCTAAAAGTTCTTCGTTCGACGACGCGTAGTTTTCCGTGGACATGGGTCAAAATTAATAATAAAAATTGCTGCGGGTTTTTATCAAAATTTGAAATATTTTGTTTAAAAATAAATTGTAATGTATTTATCTATTTTTCGTAATATTTTGTTCGTTTTTCGGATCTCAGAGAAAAATTTATTTCTTCATACTCAGATTTCAGCGAAGAAAATAAAAGAATGGATTTATTTTTTAAATCATGTATTTCCTATTGTATTAATTTTTTATTTCTCTTGCACAATAAGTTTGACAAGTTTTAAGCCTTTTAGAAAAGGTGGGAAAAAAACAAAATTTTAAGAGGGGGCGAGGGGTATCCCTACAGCTCCCTTTTCTTGGATTATTTTCGTGGAGGGGGGCGAGGGTTGTCCCTTTCTCACAGTTTCGTTGGTTTTTTGAGTTTTATGCAAGATCTAACTGAATAAAATCTTGCATATAATTTTTTATTTTAGAACTTTTCGTTTTTTTATATTATTTTTAACTATTTCTACAACTTTTTAGACATTTAGAATCATTGTAACACACACGCTGGTTCCTGTTTTTTGGTCGGTAGACCTCTACTAGGGCGCTACTCTCTCGCAGTTATCAATAATTATTCAAAAGAAGTTCCGGTGGGTGGGTTAGTAAAAACTCAAGATAATAGGGGGGGGGAAATGAAAAAAAAATGATTCTTGCATTGTTTTCGACATTCAAAGCTATCGAGGCCGTTATCATTGCGCTGCAGATGGCTGGGCGGATGTTTTGCCACGCCGTTGCCCACCCTTCCATGTTCACCAGTTCCGCGAATTAAATGTTGGTGATCCCAAATATTTACTTTCACTTGCCTTGCTACAGGATCAGGATCTCCTCCTAAGTTGATATGAGTTGATAGCATGTCCGTCTGTCCGTCATTCTGTTTCTACGCGAAATAGTCTCTCAGTTTGAGAGCTTTATACTTGAAACTTTGCACACAGTATATAAGTCGAAACGGCCTATAGCCATATAACTGCCATATAACTGATTGATAGAAAATGCTAGAGATGTGATAAGAATTTATCATAAACGCAAGGTGCTCAAACAAATCACGACAAATTTCATTTATATACAATTTCCCATACAAACGGGCTAAAATTATCTAACTTTAAAAACACCAAAGTTGTTTTGTGTTCGGATTGCTCTACCTTTGTAATCCTCGAGATCATAAGTTCTAAATTTTAGCCCGTTTCTATAAGAAATTGTATATATGTATATCGTGTGGTCGTGTTTTATTTGTGCCTACTTCGTTTATGATAAATTTTTCCGCAAACCGGTGTTTACTTACTTGAGAATCGAATTTTGAGAAACGTGGCAACCGTGGCATCACGTGGCAGCCTCAGTTTCGGATTCCGTTTCCCGTAGATGTGGTTTACATTATTATTGTGATAATTGTCGTGCTGTCTAAGACGAAATTAGGTCGTTCATGAGACAGCCTAAGAATGGATTTTAAGAGTTGAGCTCATCACTCGTTCATCTTACGCTCATATTCTCATTGAATGCTTTCTGTTTCTCAGTCTCTGAAAAGAGCCGATGAAGTAGGTTGGTCTGCGCTCGGATTGATCTTTGTATGTATTCATTCACATACACCGGTGTATGTGTGCGTGCGATTTCGATTCGAAGCCAGCGACCAAAATTTTGAATTTTCGAACTTTTCAGGCTTGCTACCCTAACAAAAATCGGATATTCGTTGTTTGGTGAAATGACGAAAGAAATTATATTATTTGTTATACTATATATTTTAATATTTCAGCATACATTTTACATTTATTTAGAAATATGATTTAGTGTTAGCAGTAAATTGTCACATCACTTAAAACGCCGATTGCTTTATAGTTTTTGTTGTTCTGCATGTGAATTGTGCTTGCATACTCTACCGATAAATGCTTCTTATTGAAGTGAGCAAATACGAATCTTTATTAGACTTTTTCAGTCTGTTTCTATGAATTTTTATACCATTGCAGAGGGTATTATAATATTGTCCAAAAGTGTGCATCGTATCATCAGTGTGCAGTGTGCAACATCCGACTCCGATTTTTCATCAGGATCACCTCCTGAGTTAATATAAGCATGTCCGTCTGTCTGTCCGTCTGTTTCTACGAAAACTAGTGTCTCAGTTTTAAAGATATCGACTTGAAACTGCACACACCCTTCTTTCCTTTGCACGCAGTATATTAGTCGGAACTGGGATTGGCCGACTATAGCTGCCATATAACTGAACGATCGGAAATAACCCAACTTTCGTGTTTTTAATGATAGAAAGCTGAAACTTAGTATAGATTCTTGGTATATTTACTGAGATATTTTTGGTCAGTTAATCCTACCTACCTTCATAACGATCGGCCGACTATTTCTTATAGCTGCGATATAACTGAACGAGCGGAAATGATATTTTTGAGACTTGGGACTGTTTTTAGATTTTGTATTACAATAAATTGGGTTATATTTTGATATTCTCATAAGGATCGGACAACTATATCCGATGTTTCCGATATTGTTAAGAGGAGCCCCAAAATAAAGGTCGTACTCCAATGAGTTCCGTTTCAAAACTGATTTTATTTGGTAAAGTTCTCTTATAAGTAAGATACATGGAAATCTTAAAACTATTAAAAACTACTTATCAACGCACTGCACGTTGACATGCTATGCGACCCTTTCTCAAGTGTGACAAGCGGATGCGCTTATGTTTGTTATTTACGATGCTTATGTTTCTGTTTTTTATGTTAGGCTGCAGGGGATCGGTTTTAGACCATGCTGTTTATCTCTTATTTCATGGGTCCGATCCCTTGAAACTCTAACTTAAGAATTTGTATATAAAATAGTGTTCAATGCTTGAACAGATATATATATCCGGTTTTAACTGCAAGGGTATATCCGACTGTATATAACTTCCGCACGAAGTTAGCTTTATTTTCTTGTTTTAAATTGAATTTTTGTTAAAGTGTAATTATTTTCTTATTTAGTCAACATCAGCGTTTTATATACGCCGTAAATATAAATATATTATATATTTATTTATACATTTTTTTTTATTTAGAACATAACAAATAATATAATTTCTTTCGTCATTTCATCAAATAACGAATACCTAAATTTTGTTAGGCTATTAAGCCCAAAAAGTTAAAAAAATTAAAATTTTGTGCAACCTTCTTTATTGTGCTCCTTTCAGAGACTGAGAAACAGAAAGCATTCAATGAGAATATGAGCGTAAAAAAGATAGTAAGAACTCGCTCTGGGGCCTGTCGCAAGAAATTTTTACGTCCAGTTTCGTTGTATGAAATGGGTTGTCTATATACTGTATGATTACGTATTCACTTCCACGTATTCCCAGTGGAAGTTACTTTTTATACCCTTGCAGAGGGTATTATAATTTTGGTCAAAAGTGTGCAACGCAGTGAAGGAGACATCTACGACCCTATAAAGTATATATATTCTTTATTAGGATCACCTCCTGAGTTGATATAAGCATGTCCGTCTGTCTGTCTGTTTCTACGCGAACTAGTCTCTCAGTTTTAAAGCTGTCGTCTTGAAACTTTGCACACACCCCTCTTTTCTTTCTTGTTTTTTACAGAAACTTGGTTAAAGTCGGAGTTTATTAGCTCCGAAGTTTTTCCAAGTAAGTACACCACTTTTAGACGTGATGAACCTCTGCAAAGGGAAGGTGGAGTCCTTATTGCGGTAGACTCCGAACTTGCTTCTGAAGAGGTAAAATCACAAAAGTTTGGTGAAATAGAATTTATTTGCATTAAAATCATTTTGTCCGCTAAATCGTTATACATTACATGTTTATATATACCGCCTTCGTCTGAACCACCAACATACTGGCATCATTTGTCCGCTATTCAATCCGTTTTGAATTTTATGACTTATTGTGACCAGCTTGTAGCTCTGGGTGACTTTAATATCCCAGAATTAAAGTGGTCAAATGTCGATAACTCACCATCTTTATCACTTATCACGGACCATGACTTCACCGCAGGCATGTTTGACTTGGTCAAATTAACCATATTAGAAATTTGTTAGATGGGTTTTTAGACTTATGTTTTGTATCTGATCCTAAAGGTACCAATCTTTCCAGAGCTTTGCCCCTTTCAACCCGAGACGATCAATATCACCCCACGCTGGAGGTCTCAACCGAAACCATTTCTGGTATCGATCAGAAGTTTCCATGCGTGGCAAATAAGATTCTCTGTTTCCGTAAGACTGATTTTTACAAACTTAATAGCCTTATCGATACAATTGATTGGTCCGATATTCTGGGATGCACCGATGCAAATGACACCTTAGAAAAATTTTACCATACTTTAAATACATTTTTTTACTCATGTGTGACATGGAAATATCCGTCCGCTTCAACAAACAATTAAAAT